CCTCCTTTATCACCAGATGACAGAATTGAACATCAAAGAAAGAAGGTCAAACTTTTAGCCATGCTTGATGAGGTATGTAATCTCTATCTCTTTCTTCTCAAATTGTCTCTCCTTCAAGATAGTGAATAGGGTTCTATAGGGTACTCTAGTTGAATTTGATTAAAACTTCAACGTCAAATCATATTGATTTCTGTGATTAACAACAAAGCAGTGAAGTTATTTGCAGGTGGAGAAGAGATACAAGCTTTACTGTGAAAAGGTGAAAATGATGGTGGACTCATTGGACCAAGTGATGGGCAATGGTGCATCAGTGCCTTACACTGCACTTGCTAATTATCAGGCAATGTCAAGACATTTTAGGGGCTTGAAGGATTCGATATCGGCACAATTGAATCAAATGGACGGTAAAATGATGGAGCATGAATCTTGGAGATCCAAAACGGGCCTGCCTGAAAGATCTGTCAACATCTTAAGGGTCTGGCTTTTCGAACATTTTCTCCACCCCTACGTTGTCTTTATCTCACACTAGCTACTCGGTTCTTAAAGACAAGGTGCCATGATAACGCAGTTCTCGGGGATGTTGTCTCGTCAGTAAAAAAGATGTTAAGACTTAAGACCTGAAATTAGTTACTACATTAAAGAACAACTTGATTAAGCCATAAGAAAGGCATTTCTCTGCAAAATGTCATGATCTAATGTCGTTTAATGTTTCTCAGGTACCCAAGCGGTGCAGAAAAGCATCTGTTGGCTCGACAGACTGGTCTCTCGAGATATCAGGTTGGCTCTTTCACAACTATTGTAGCAAGCCTTTACTTTGCAGAATTAGATTCTGAAAAGAGCCCTTAATCATATCATATGTATATGTTAATGCAGGTTTCAAATTGGTTCATAAACGCCAGGGTTCGGATGTGGAAACCCATGGTGGAAGAGATGTATCAACAAGAGACAGAGGAAGACGAGAGAGAGAGAACAATGATAAAGTGAAAGAAAGGGAGACTAATAATGGCAGCAATAATGCACAAACATCGACGCCTCGCCCGACAGCATCAATAACGAAATGTTAATGGAAAACGTGCGAAATCACAGCCCTCGAAAACGACCCTTCACTCATTGAAATCCGCAATGCTTCTCGTTCTCAGAAAACAAAAAGTGCACTTCCATAACGACCACTGCCACTGAGGCGGCGGTGCCACCCTATTCACAGCTTGTCACCACCGCCAATGTTGGCCATGTTTCACTTCACTATATGCCATGGTATATTGTTTTACTTCTATGGGTGCGTTTGGTTCACGGAATGTAAGATTATCAGTGGGAATAAAAGATTACCAGAGAATAGGATTACTGGAATGTTGTATTTTGTATTTGGTTGATTTAGTAGGAATATAAGATTATTGTGTTTGATTAAAGAAATAAAATATTATTAGAATGTATATTTGACCAAATTGTCCTTATTATATATTTGTTTTTTAACAAATTGGAAAATATTTATATATTTTCTTTAAAAAAATTAAATTCATATAATTCATATAATTTTTTTACAAAATTGAAAATATAAAAAGGTTTAATGAAATGGTAAAATTTTATTTTAACCCCTGAATTTCATATAATATTTTAATTATAGATTTTTTTTTGTAAATCTAAAATAGTTTAAGGATAAATTTGTAATTTAACCTTCGTAGAATTTTTATTATTCAATGACAGAATAAGGATATTTTTGAAAGAAGTTTTTTAAGGGCATTTTATTCCAAAATGTCGGTAATCCAATAATACCTAAGGAAATGGAGGTAATGAAATTTCCAATAATATATCCCAAAAAATCCACTATTGGTAATGTAAGATTACCGGGAATGATATTTCCGGCTAACCAAACGGAAGAATGTGGATTCCATTCCCATGGGAATCTCACATTCCCCCAACCAAACACATCCTATATGTCTTTGAATTAAATTAATTTCCCATAAAAATATTTAAGCTTTAATTTAAAATAGAAAACCATCAAGGCTTATTTTTGTATACAAAATCATATTTTTGTATACAAAATCATATTTTTGAGATATGATAATTTATTTTTTAACAAAATATATCCATAATACAAGACTATATAAAAATAAACTCATATTAATATATTATTAACAAATACACTGTTAATGAAAATAAAAAACACAAACAAAATCGTATAATGATATATATATCAAATTTATTTAAACTTTAGATATTAAATACAATTCAAGATGCATGAATCCAAGTTATCTCCGTGGTCAAAGGGATTGTCGTTATTTTTAAAGGTTTTAGGTTTGAGTACTATAGATTACAGGATATTTGAATGTTTATTATTAAATAGTTGAATATCTTTAAAACACATATTATCATTTCTAAACATCTTATATTAATAAAATTAAATAATTTAGGAGCGATAGAAAAAAATGATTAGGTGGCATGTGGCCTTCGTGATAAAGAAATTATTATTATTCTTGAGGACTCATGTTCGAGCACCATAGATGCCAAGAGATCAATTTATGATATATATATATATACACACACGCATACACAATAATGATAAAATTAACTGAACCTTGAAAGGGACTTATTCCTCAATTTATCTGGTTGAATGATAAATACCTGATAAATTAGAGTTTTATAAGTTTAAATAGTAAATAAATTTAAATTAATTTTTAATTTAAGTATAATAGTTATTAGTTTTTTAAATTAGATAATTTAATTTTTTTAGTTATTAGTTTTTTAAATTAGATAATTTAATCCTTGATTATATACTGAAATTGGTCAAATGTCCGAGTCAAAAAATACAAAAAATTAGATATAAAGAAAGAAACCGAAACTGTACCCCTTTTTTTAATAGAAAATTACATGTTTTAATTCCCAAATCCAATAGTTTTAGGGACTTCCATGTTAGCCACATCAACTTTAGCCATGCAAACGACAATCAATAACCCCAAGCAAGCTTCAACACGTGAAGAAGAAGACTTCTTCGCCTCATCTCCGGCAGGAGACCACTGCCACCATGTCTTGTGCTTTCCTCCCGATCAATGGAACGCCACTCGTACTTCCTCTTCATCTCCTTGAACCACTTCTTCACCGTATCGCCCCCTAATATGTGTTCCTCCTTGGAGGTCATCATCAATGGATAGCTTCTCAAGTATTTTTGCCTCATCAGATACCGTTATGTACTGCATCCGGAGCTTAGTTTCATAGGGTTTCTGCAGCTTAACCTCTCCATGGTTTTGAGATTATTCTTCCGTAAGTAGTTCAACGTCAATATAAGCATCAAAACAAGGTTTAGATTTATATATAGAGAGAAGAAATTAATTTCTTGTAGGAGTCCTTTTCATGGCAGGGAATTTGTTTCCTTCTCGCTGTAGGCAAAAGAAGAAGTCTATTATATATGTAGACAAAGATAAGAGCAAGTTCTAACTTAACCTTTGACTTGTGATACCGAAATATTGGCTTTAAATTGCAAAATTTTCAAGATTAGGTAATTGAATTCGTTTTGCCCCTTTTCTCCATTGATATTAAAGTTTAAACATTAAAGCTTTGCCAAAAAAAAAAGCATTCCCTATTGGAACCTCAATATTATTGATAATTAACTTGAAATTAAACTTCTCACATAAATAGAGACATAATTAAAATCAAATATTAAAAATAATTTAATTTAAAAGTATAAGATTCTATGAAATATTTAAATTTAAAATTTGAAAAAAAAAGATTTTATCTAATATATAAATTTACGAGGCCTAAATTATTATTAAACCAAAAAAATTAGAGAGGGTCACAGCCCCTCCCGCTCATAATTTGATTATGTGAGCATTAATAAATTCAATATTTATAATAATATAAACTTCAATTAAAAAATAAGTAAGAGTGATTAAAATAGGAGCAGTTTGAAAGTTAAGTGATTAAATTTAAAAAAACTTTAATGGCCAAATAGGAGTGAAAAGATAGTTGAATGATAAATTATGTAAATTAACCATAAAAATGCCAGGTTTTTTACGACAGAGGTACTAAATGAAATATAAAATAAATTTTAAGTATGATTTTGAAAAAAAGAATAATTTAGGTACTAAAATAAAACAAAAGTGGTAGTTTAAGTATTACACGTGTAATTTACCCTTAATTATATGACACTGTTTTTAGAATATATAAGGTTTAGTATTTGATGATGTACAATTAGGAATGGCTATTTCATCTTAATTTGATGAATTTTGATTTTATAATATTATGATTTATAAGAATAAATTTAAATCAGATCAAATAAAATTAACAATCAATATCGGTTCTATCTATTTAAATTTTTTAATAAAAAAATTTAAATTTTAATGTCATAATCTAAATTTATTAACTTTGTGTTAGTACTTATGATTAGTCCGTTAAAACTTTTTATCGGCACGACTGCACCTGGTTGGTCGGCAATCATCCTATGGTTATTTTAACTGCTAGTGTTACTTTTACTGACAAATATTTTTGCTTTATCGACGCTTATAAATGTTAGTAAAAAGTGAATTATCTCGTTCTATGTGGGATAAACTTGTCCCACAGTACGTTATCCGTCCAAAATATTACGTACGTTAAAAACAAGGGTTAGACTCGAGCGAGCTTTAGTCTTCGAGGCACAAGCTCTGCTATGCTCATTTTTCGAAGTTTGTAATAGATTACATTGTATTATTTTTTAATTTTGATGTATGAATATTAAAAATTATGCTAAAATATCTATAATCAAAAGAGACTTATTTTAAAGTAGGCGGTTTTGTGAATGTATCGAAGGTCACGTTAAAAAAAGAGTGATTCTATGCATTTGTGGGCTTCCGTTGTTCCTCTAAAAAGTTTACGGATTATCCCAGACTGTTAAGGTTAATGTAAGCCTAACCTTCTTGTATTTGTTGAGATTTTGCTTCAAATGTCTTTCGGGAGTTGCAAGAAAAAGAGAAAGGGGGTGGGGAGGGGGAGGGGGAGGGGGAGGGGGGCGAACAACATGGTAGGGAAATTAAGCACCTCCTAAACCCTAAAAACAGCAATCCTATTATTTCCGATCATCAACCAACCTTGGTCTTCTCCGAATATGGGTTCAAGATAGCCTTCAGCTTATCATACTCGTCGATATCGAATTTGTGGGCTTTGATGAGCCGTTTTTGCTTTGCGGTGAACCGGGTTTGGTAGAACCCTTCGAAAGACGGTTCTCTGGATGTCTTGAGGAAGAATGTGTGGGCAGCCATGAAATACAGGGTGGTGACGTAGAAACAAATGGGTTCCATCACATCCCATGACAGATCCCAAAATGTTAGCCTCATGAACCAGGCGGTCTGAACCACCAAATAGGCTAGACCCAGCCTCAGCTCCCATCGGACCAATGATTCGGCTTTTGAATCTATTTTAGCCTTCTGCCTCTCCAATTCCGCCAATTGATTCATTCTCGGGTCACCCGGGTTCGGATTCCGTATAGGAATCAGCCCACCAATGGCTTTGGTTACCTATAATCAGGATACACAAATACAAGTACATTTCAATCCTCATTAAATTTATTTGTACAATAATATTTTTAAATAAATATTAATTAACATCATAATCTTTTGAATGCAGTCATGATCGAAACACCAATTGCAGTAAAAAATAAATTTCAAGAAATAATTAATAGAGGGAAAAAATCGTCGTTTTAATGTACCTGTTCGGGTCGCAAAACGACAACGTCTCCCAACACGATGACAGTCCCCGACTCGTCGAGTAATTTGGCGAACTCCGATCCCTGTTCGGGATCCGAACAGCTTTGACCGCACATCCGAATAAAGTCCGAATAAGGAACCCAGTTTTTCCCGGTTTCTCTCAGCCCCGTTTTCAACACCTCCAACTGCGCTACCTTTAACAGCTTTTTCGCTTCCTGATCCGACAGTGCCGCCACCTCCTGCGCCGCCAAGTGCTGGCTTAACCCATCCAACCGGACCCGATTCTTGTACAAATCAACCCCCCTTAACCTCCCCATTAAATTTCCCCCCGTCCCTAGCTTCCTCATCGCCGGCGAAAGCATACCTCTTCCATGAAGAAACTGCAAGGACACTCCATTGTCGTCAGCGTCTCCTTGATCCGGCGCCATGGAAAGCCGATTTTGAACCATTGTCGAAGAAGTCCGGTATCTAGTAAGAGATTGCGAAGACATTTTTGAAATATTGAAAAGCTTCTCCACCAAGGTTTTTTTCAACATCATTGCTATATTTAATTTTTTTCTTATTTTTCGTAGTGGAGAAGATTTGAAAGCATTGCCCTTCTGGTGTTGGCACAATCAAATGGAGAATTGGCCATCTTTATAGTGTCCAACAATGGAGGAAGGTGTAAAAAAGATAAAAAAAAATGAAAATGAAAAATAGGAAATATCAAAGAGGCCTGCCTAATCACCGTATACGTGTATGTCTCAACTTGAAAATCCAATCACAGTGGAACCTCCATTGATGAAAGGCGAGGGGCTCATGGTAAATAGAATAGGAATGGTTATGTGGGAAAAGCAGCTGACACAGACAAAAGGTAGAACTGGATATAAACTAGGTTTATCTAAACGGTTTGAGGACGGTTACGTTCGTGCAAACGTGTCGCCACATATATTTTTGTGATCCTTTCTGAGAATAGATTAGAATTTTACATTTACCAATGAAAAATAACATTTAATTATCTATTAAATTGATGAATAAAAAAAATCCGATGATTTGTCCTTTTAAAAAAAAATTAATATTTTAAAGAAGCTAAAACTTAAATACATTATGTTTTAGAAGTTAAAATAAATTTCTAAAATTAGAGTTTTTATTAACTATATTAATGTATCATTAATTAAATAAAATTAAATTCAAAATCAATATACTAAATTACACGAAATGAATGTAGACACGACATAAAAAAATAATTAATACATGACGTCACACGAAAATAATATGAATGCAACACAAACATACAAAAAGTTAAAATCATGTTTAACAGGTTCTCATATTATAATATCATGTTTAATTTTTAAACTTTAAAATATTTTATATCAATCATCTAATAATATAATTTCATTTTGATCTTTCATTAACATGTCGGAAAAGCTCACACTTTTTTTTTAGTTTATTTCATATTTTCAATATACATATTTTTCGATGATTTCAATATTATCAGATATCGGTTATCTCTTCACTCTATCTTTTATTTTTCTTTTATACTTGGTTACTTCCATTTTCTTTTCTGTACTTTGGTTGCTATAAATAATCCATTTGACATACTCGATGGGGATAAAATTTTATTTTATTTTCTTCCATTATTATTCTTATTATTATTATTTAAATAATTTGAGGTGATCATAAGATAATTTTTTTTAGTCATTAATAATATACACATACTTTGCTTACAATTGTTCGAACCTGATATTTTATCTTTTAATTCTTTTTATTTTTCTAGGATATTATCATAATATTTTTTAGTCATTAACAATGAACATTATCTTTTACTATTAACATTGTTTAATTGTTTTTTTTTATATTTTCTCCTCTTTTTTTTTATTTTTCTAGGCTAGTGTTGACTTCTTTTTTTTTGTTGTACTTTGGACCTTTGCATAGTTGTTTGGCATGGGCTTATTATTTATGTTTTTTTTTGTTTTTTTTTTTGGACCTTCAGTTTCTAATGTTTTGTTCTGACTAATTTGGATCGATCTGAGTCACACACTTAGTTTTGGTATGTGAGTTTCTCAACAGAGATTTTCTACATACACAATAACTTGAACCTGAGACATTACTTAAACGATATCAAACTGCTTACCACTTGAACCAACCATGTTGATCTTTATGTTTTGTATTTAATCCTTTGAATACATCTTAATTGACAAAAAATTCTGTAACAATTGTAAAAGAATTATAATTTTTTAATGCAAAGGACTGATATAAATATATCATTAACATATAAAAGAATTCAATCAAATCACTCATTTAAAAACTATATCATAATTTATATATATATATATATATATATATATATATATCAAATTATAGTGTAAATTGAATAGATACACAATTTTTACGTAACAAAAAAAAGTTAATAATGATAAATTATTACCCAATTAAATGGTCCAAAAGAAAAGAAATTACCTGATCTAAAAGAGATTAATCCCAAATAGTTTAATCCAATTAAAAGTGTCATAGCCTCTACGCCATTTTCCCCCTCGGCCTAGGTGTCCCATAAAAGATCTTCATTCACAGGAGAAGTATGACTGGATTATAGGCTCATTGTACCAAAGCTTGCAAAGCTATAATAGACTTTACCTCTTAGTTAAGCTAAACAAAATTCTATTCGATTCGAAAATAAATAAATTTCAAGCTTTCCTCCCACTTGGGTTGTTAATAATTTTGAAAATATATAAATCGGTTCCTCTCAACAAAATTTTTAAAAAAAATTATAAAAAAATTAAAATATTTTATAAAATTTAAAAATATATATAATTCTTAAAAATAATTTAAAAATAAAAAAATTAAATTATGAAAATTCAAAATTACTTTTTTCAAGGAATATCTTATATTTTTTACTTCGAATATCATACGTTCATTTTTACTCATCCAATGATCCTAAAGTGTAAATATAAAAAGTTTTACTCGGTGTAAACAAATCCTATCTTATATATTAGAAAATGAGAAGATATTCACTGAAAAAATAATGAGTTAATCTCAACCAACTATTTTCACTCATCCAATGGTCTTAAATATTTGTAAAACTAAAAGTGTTTTACACAGTGTGTGTGAGAGAGAGGGGGTTAGTTTTAATCAGGTTTTACGGGTACCCGAATGTCATGGGCTGGGACACAGGCTGGCATTTTGTTGGGACCGTCAGCGCACCCCACGGCGCAACGGAAACAAAACTCGACAGTCTCACCAGTGATCTAAGTACGTAAAACCGAAATCGGGAGGAAATGATGTGAATACTTACAATGGGTTCCTTGAAAAACAGTAAAGACAACAGCGGGAAGTGGTGATCACGAACGGTTCAAATCGTAAGCCTCCACGAAAACACGTCTCGACTTCTACTTAGTTCACCCGATTGAGAGCAAAATTTTATTTTCCCAAAAACGGTTTTGAGAAGAAAAAAAGCGGCTGCTAGACCTTACCTCCTTTAAATATATCAATTACCCTAACATCTTAGGGTTTTTAAAATTATTTCGAATTAATAAATAAAATATTATTTAATTAATTCAAATTAAATATACATTAAAGACTTATAATATGAATTACAATCTTTAATGTTTATTTTAAAACTTATTTAATTATTCCGAATTATATATCAATTAAAAGAGTTGTAATATAAATTACATTCTTTTAATGCTTACTTATTATATTCGGGATAATTAAAATCATATGTATATCAAATATACATATCTTAACTCTAGATATATTTTAGTAACATGCAACAAATTATGCATCTTTGCTCATTTCAATCATAGGGTGTGACCCTGTAGGTTCTTGTAACGTTAGTAGTAATTATTAGAACAATTCTAATATTACATACAATGAGTGACATCTAGCAATATATCATTGTCACCTAAGTTACAAGAAATTATGATTCGACACATCATCTTCGTGATTAACTCTTTTATGTATTACATCCTTTTGTCCTTTATATCTAGAATAGGCACAAGTCTTAGATTAGTCACACTTGTATAACCCATCTATTGTTTCTTGATATCTAAAGTAGACTATAATTAACGAATAATTTGTGATATCACATATCAACTTATTATAGCATGTCCATGCATTTTTAGTCTCACTCAATCAAGTAGCATGTGATATATTTCCTATTATGTATGCAGGACAAATCCTATCTTAACCATATACACCCCACTGCATATATCGAGATATATTCAATAACAATCTTTATAGTGCAACCAGTTACGGAGCATGTTTAACTGTATTAAAACATACAACAATATATGTTGGGATGACATTGATCTCAAGTGTGAGGATCATACATATAGTCATCACCATGAGTAATGTTATGACTGTTACATAATAATCCAAGACATATGCTCATGATGGGTCAATCAAATATATTGTTCTCTAACAATATAATCATGCATCAATTCTGACATCTCTATGTCAATGACAACTCCTTGTCATCAATCAATAATATGTTAGTCTTAAGGGTATTATTATTGTTCATGCACATAATAATACTTGACTATGGATCTTTTAACATTGTTATTATATGAACTTTATTATATTTCAGTTTATGTTAAACACAAACATATAACTGAAAATAATATTGGCAATGCTTTATTAAAAAAAATCGGTAAATAAATGTATTATTACAATCATCATATGATTGGTCTTTGGGCATACTCTAACACATTTTAGTACTCGAAAATTATGGGTACCCAGTATTTCGGGTATCCAAAAAATCGGGTATTTGGTTTTGAACACCCCTACTAACCGCGTAATATATATATATATATAGGGTTATGATTCACTTACACTATGTAAAACTAGTAATCATATTTAACTACATAAATAACTTAGATTTAATTAGAATTTAAATAAATAAGTTTTAGAATATATATAGAGAGAGGGGGTTAGTATTCTCTTATCTTTTTAGGGTTAGAGCTTAAGGGACAGGGTTAAAGATTTAAACTTTAGGATTTACGGTTTGAGATTAATGAGTCGTGGCTTGTGGTTTGGGATTTAGGGTTTAGGATTTGAGATTGGATTAAAAGGAGAGATTGTTTTACTACGGGTTAAAAAGATATATTGTTTTATTACGAGTTAAAATATATTTATTTATGAGTTGTAAATCTTGATTAAATCTAAAGCATTTATATATTTAAATATAATAATTATAAATTGGTGTAAAACCTTCTAATTTTACATATTGTATGCTCCTCTCCTTGTTTCATGGACAAACAAGTCGCCTAGAACATGGATAACAGTAATATTGATAATGAAATGAAGTATATATCCAACAGATTTCTTAAGTAAATAAATAATTTTTGTAAATTATAATCATGCATGGTTCAATTATGTTAAAACTGGGTTTTTATCTCTAGATGATATAGCATGTATACTGTACATGACATTATGACTTGTAGCAGATGACAGATATTTCAGGGAAAACAGGCTGATCATCTCCCTTTTCCACGGCCAAACAAGCCCCTAAAACCTGGATAACAGTAACATTCAAAACATGTGATTTCCAACTGATCTGGGATTGTTGTCTCCTACACGTTAGCTTTGCTGCCTTGAATTCATTGTTTCTCTTCTTTCTTGGACCTCCAATCAAACCA